AGGATAGTTTCTTCTTGATACTTCAGGTCAGCAAGATCTCTGACATTTTCAACTACGCTTTCCATCTAAGATCAGTTCTTCCTCTTTGCCCGGATCAGCATTGTTTCGTAGAATAAAGTCTAGAACAATGCTGAATAGAAAAGGCGAAGCACATCTCGCTGGCGAACTTCATGTTGATAGGCAACCACTTGGATGGCTCTTCTTTGACTGAGACAGCATGCATGATTTCTGCGTACTTCTTTTCCAGAATGGAGCCTATATGCTAAATGCAGCCGTAAAGTCGAAAAATCTGGCAAACCGTGGCACCTGGAATCGTAGGCATAGCTTAGTAATCGTATCGTAAAATTTCTGTCAGGATAGGAACGTCCTATGTGGAAGCCTGACCTTGTTTTAGCGAAATTTCGTAAACTTCTTGTCTCTAACTTTCCAAGGTAATTCAGGAAAGTGGTTTCCCGGAGATTGATTTTACGGTAATACCGCGATAGTTGGGGATTTCCTGCATTCTATAAGCATTTTCCCGCTCTTCCGTCTGGAGAAACGTTTTGAAATCCACGTGTTAGAGAATGGGGCATGAAACTGTTCTGCCATTCCCGTTCTTCCCAATGTGATTACCTAACGGAATTCGATTCGCTTCACAGGAGTTTTTCATTTTTTGAATTGTAGCATATCTGTGAATATCTACTTTTGTGGGTGGATCTGAACTATCCTCTTAGAAGACAATGCCGGAAGACAATTTCTGATGCACGGCTTTTAGCGAGCCGCTGGAAATATTCAGCCCATCTCTCATGTCCTCCTTATTATCTGCCCTGGGAAATGGCACATCCTTACTGTTTTGATTAATGACAGCCCGACTTTTCTGCGTAACGGACAGCTATTACTCTATGGAACACTGTTCGCCAATTACTTTTTCTCTCTGCCTTGTTCAATTCAATTTCCACTACCGTTTGTCCTTCCGGGTCGCAGAGCAGACGCGTCAGACAGTGCTTCCAACGTTCCCTTGCTAACATATTAGTTTCGGCAAAAGACAGCTAAAATTGAGAAAAGAATCCTGCATTACACTTGCCCCATGTTAATCTTGGCTACTAGTCGTTGTTTCGCATTTCTTTTCGCACGCACGTTCCCATACCCTCGCAGCTGTACCTTCTCAGTTGGAGAAACTGCGGCTCTACTCCAAGCCTCTCTCGGATTTCTGTACTTGCGGAGCTAGAAGCATAAAGCCAGTGATTAGTCTCAGAATACCAATTTCAGCCGCTTGTACCCGGGGTCGAAGTTTTCAGTCATGGTCCACGACTCATGACCGTAGGTAAGCATGGGGTGAAGACCGACTTGAACGCTGAGAGTTTCAGACTCAGCCCTACTTTAGTCATAACAGTTCGAGGTAGTTCGAGCGGAACGCCACTGTCTACTCAATTCCGCCACTCGATCTTTTCCCCTAGTTTTCCGTCACCAGTAAACACGACCCTGAGGTACTTGAACTTATCCGCTTGTTCGACTGTTTTTATGTTTATCTGAGGAAATCAGCTGAGAGGAGAAAGAGAACGCATGAAACTTTTCGTTTCAGATGCTTCACACACGTACGCGCCTCTTCACACTCATGCGGACCTTTCCAGGGAGCGCTGCAGATCAATTTCAGAAGATGTCAATAAAACAATGTCGTCTGCAAACAGCAGCCTTCTCGTTTCGACATCTCCTACGCTGATGCACCCATCAATTTGGCTGCCCCTGACTGTTCTGTCTGCGTAAAACGCTAACAGGAGGGAACAGAATGCAACTTTGATGAAGACTAGTGCCAATGTTGAAAAGTCTCGATTTACCTCCATTGACTGTGGCGCAGGACCTGCCGTCAACATGATTATACTATGTCTGATAGTAACCGATGATTGATTCCATATATTTGCAGGCAGGCCCATTGCTTTTTGCACCTGATGTGCGAATTCCCGCGATTTCTCAACAGTCTGCCGTAGTGCGAATATCTGGTCAGATGTGGTTCGGACGGGCCGGAAGCCACAGCGTTCTTCTTGTTTCTTTGAGTCAGTTGTTCCGCTGCATCTTTCTAGCACCTTCGCGTAGAC